CGCCTCAACACCCGATGGTCACGCGCGTGCAAGCTGGGATCCGCATGCCTAATCCCAAGTACGCGCACATGGCTACTACAACGGCACCGTCACCACCACCGACTTCGATCCGCGCCGCTCTTCGTGACCCGGAATGGCTGGCCGCGATGCAGGCCGAATTTGATGCGCTGAAGAGCAACGGCACCTGGACGCTGGTGCCCCGACCTGCCCATGCCAACATCATCACTGGCAAATGGCTGTTCAAGAACAAACTGCAACCTGATGGCAGCCTAGAATGCCGCAAAGCCCGGTGGGTTGTGCGTGGGTTCTTGCAACGCCCAGGGGTCGATTTTCATCAGACCTTCTCATCGGTGATTAAACCGGCGACCATCAGGACTGTGCTTCACCTCACGGTGACACGGTGGTGGCCAGTGCATCAGCTCGATGTCAAGAACGCTTTTCTACACGGTGACCTCGCCGAACGCGTCTACTGCCATCAACCTACCGGCTTCGTCGACAAGGACCACCCTGACCATGTTTGCCAGCTCGTCAAGTCCTTATATGGACTTAAGCAGGCGCCGTGGGCCTGGTTCCTTCGACTTGGTGGCCAACTTCTTCGCATGGGCTTCACTGCGTCACGCTCCGACAGCTCTCTCTTCATCTATCAGCACGGTGTGCACGTGGCGTACCTCCTGGTGTATGTGGACGACATCATCCTCACCGCCTCGTCGCATGCACTTCTACGTCAAGTTGTCGAGCAGCTTCGGCAAGCGTTCGCGATCAAGGACCTTGGTGAGCTGCACTTCTTCCTTGGCATACAGGTGCGACGTGATCATGCTGGTTTCCACCTCAACCAAGCCCAGTACACAGAAGACATTCTGGAACGAGAAGGCATGGCGAATTGCAAACCGGCATCCACGCTTGGTGAAGTCAAGCCCAAGCTGTCTACCAAGGACGGCGAAGCTGCAACAGACGGCATGTTCTACCGCAGTATCACCGGCGCGCTCCAGTACCTCACTCTCACACGCCCGGACATTGCCTATGGCGTGAACCAGGCGTGCCTTCACATGCATGCTCCTCGCGACGTCCACTGGAACCTTGTCAAGCGGATCCTGCGATATCTGCGTGGCACCATCAACACCGGCATCACCATCTCAGCTACTCCATCGACAACACTAAAGGCATATTCAGAAGCTGATTGGGCAGGATGCCCAGATACTCGGCGTTCGACGTCTGGCTACTGTGTGTTTCTTGGTGACTCACTCGTCTCGTGGTCGTCCAAGCGACAGACTATGGTCTCGCGATCGAGTGCCGAAGCCGAATATCGGGCGGTCGCCAACGCTGCTGCGGAGTGCTGCTGGCTCCGTAATCTCCTTCGAGAGCTTCACGTCGTCGTCGACAAAGCCACGGTGATCTATTGCGACAATGTATCTGCGGTTTACCTTTCAGAAAACCCAGTACACCATCGCAGGACCAAGCATGTCGAGCTTGACATCCATTTCGTGCGAGAGAAGGTGGCCCTCGGTCAGTTCAAGGTGCTGCCAATACCAACCCGGTACCAAATTGCCGATATCATGACCAAAGGCCTTCCAACGCCATTGTTCAACGAGTTCAGAGACAGTCTGTGCATTCGATCACCCGATGCTCCAACTGCAGGGGGGTGTCAGCGACCGATTCTTCAGACTTCTGTTAGCTAGCGTAGGATCTGCTCTTCCTCTTGTAACTCAACTGTGTAACTGCTAGTTGCTAGTCTTCAGCTGAGCCGTGCATGCAGGTTAGTTAGAATTGATCGGCTAGGAATGATCGGCAAGATGTATAAGTACATGTACACTGAACATTGAATGAACTGAGCGTTCTATTCTCTTACAGAACCGCTAGCGTTATTGCAAAGGAATTTGTTAAGACGGCGAGGGAGGAAGGAGTAAAGCTTATGGAGAGTGATGTCTTCAAGTTTTGTTTCCTGAAGAAGAATCAGATCAGAGGTAGATGAAAGAAGTTCAGAAAGAACGTCTCCACATTTGATAGAGTCTTCTAAGCCTCTTACATTCCAACTGCAAACCTTGATGCTTCTATTCATTAAAGATGTGTTCAACACCATACATGGGACAGTGCTTAAGAGCATCTGTCAGACTATTTACATTATTCAGGGGCTATTTACATTATTCAGGGGGAAACCTTTCTCTCACACCAAACCAGCCAAAGCAAGAAATAATCCACGACATCGATACAAGGTGGGCTGAATACAAGGTGGTAGAACACAGACATCTAGATTGTTGCAGAGAAGCATCTCATAACTTAGGCTAGGGGGGTTGTTCCTGGCGCCACTACCGGGGATAACAAAATTGGAGGCAGGCAGTCTCCTGGGCCGGTGAATGGCGCCATCTTCACGATCATCTTCTTGGGGACTCATCACGGTCCAGTTGACGGCGAGGCCGTCGCACCGGAGATCCCAGCAAGCTCCTCCTCGTTTGCACCGCAGGCTGCAGCAATCTCGCAGAGGGATTCATCATCGCCTGAGGGATAATAATTATCAGATAAAAGATAAGAATGAGAGATGGACACGGGCAGCTTTCTGTTCCGGGAGCTCGAAGCTCGCTTCCTCCTTTTCTTTGAGCCTTAAGCTCCTGCGAAGCTTGCGGGCACTGTCCTTGGCCCTCTTACAGTGGCTGTGTCCTCCTCGACAACCTCCACCTCGGCCTCGCGCGCAGAGGCACCCCACCGACACCATACCAAGGAAGAGCAAGGAGAGTAGGAGGATCATGGCGGTTGTTGGAGCTGGACGAGTTGTCACTGGCTGCAGTGGGGTAAGGAGTGGTGCGCCTAGTACGAACTGGGCGGAGGTTAAGAGTGTCATCTTTGACAGTGTGATAGATCTTGTTAAAAACATAATTTTGCAGAATAGGGCTCGTACCATAAATTCCTTTTTGTGAAGAAAATATCCAGTGTAAAGCCAGGCTGGCTTAGGCCACTTGTAATTTAAAACTCCTTTCTTCTTAATGCTCTTGCGTATTTGAGACAAAAAATTATTCACGATCAAAATACTTATGGGAGCATCTACCGAGACAACTTTTCAGTATGGTATATTTGTCTTCCCAGCCCCAGTGCGGCTATTCTTAGACAAAAATGGAACAAGTAAATTCTAGACTTTTACGTACCGGTGCTCTTTCCCAGTGGCCAGCGCCGGGTGACGGTGGAAGGCAAATTTTGGTCAGGCTTTGCCCAGCAAGATCAGTGGACAAAATCACCCGTGGTAAGCAATTATCAATTCTGATTAAAAAAAGTGGACAAAATCATTCCTAAAAAAAAGATCAGTGTACAAAATCACTTTTTTGGATGAGTAATAACCAATAGTCTTATACTGTGTAATTACAAGTTGCTCTTGGTAGTCAAGTGTGTGCTTCCACAGGGTGCATGTGCTGAATTGTTGCAAATACTGTGAGTTGGAAGCACTTTGGTCCTGTGATATCAACGAGTTAACATTTTTTGTTGTGAAATTTGAGGACCTTCTTCATGAACAAGGACTCCTTCTAAGGATGCAGATGGATACACATGGCTAGTTAAGGGCATGTTTGATACACATTACTAATTACTAGATGGGCTAAAAATTAGACCAAATTAGGTATGGTTATCTATCTAGTTGGATAACAACTAGTTTTTTTTTCGCATTTGAAGAGCTCCCATCGGCAATCGTGGTCGCGTTGTTTCGTCGCTGCCGCAACTCCACAGACCGTTGCGCTCGTCATCGCTGGAGGCTGGATGCGGAGTCGCTGCTCGCCGGGCTCCACGCAACACCATGGCGGAGCACAACATCAGATAATCTGGACTGAAAGCGGATACCGGCCAAGGCCATTGGCAAGCAGAGCACGACCGGCACCAGGCAGTCTCCCAGGGGCACGTGAAATGAGGTTATAAAACGCGTTCGCTTACAGTAACAGTAGCTGAAGCGCCGGTAAGCCTCCAATTTATTCGCGTTTGATAATAATAATAATAATAATAATAATAATAATAATAATAATAATAATAATAATAATAATAATAATAATAATAATAATAATAATAATAATAATAATAATATATGTTATTTACATAAGTATTGAGCTCTCAAAAATGTTTGCAACATTTGCAACATCCCAATCTACTTTTACAACACCGATACGAAACAATTACAACATATCTCTAAAATATCTGAAACATGTGTTTGCAACGTGTACTTTCAGCACGACATCTCCTTGTTGCTTGGGAATGGAGGCTCGTCGGCGTGTGGAGTTCACCGGTGTAGAGCTCGCTACTCTGGTGGAGAAGGTCGCGACGGATCTGGCGCGATTTGTCACCGCTCCGGCGGAGGAGGTCGTATCGTCTGCTTAAGCTAGAAAGGAAGCGACGGACGGAAGCAAGCGAAATGGAGGAAGGAAGGCACCAGCAGAGAGGTGGATGAAGATGGAGATGGAGGAAGGCGGCGCCCACGCTTTCGGGCAGGTGGAGATGTCGACCATGAGCGGCGCGGATTGGATGTCGTGGAGAACGTGCCCACAGTGTTGAAAGCCTTATGGAGAATGAAAGCGTCCGAGTACTAGAGAGGATACGACTGTTAGGCCGTTGGGCTGGTGTCGCGGCCCGCGAACTGAGCGTCCGATCGGACGCCCTTAGCACATCATTTCCATTAAAAGATTAACACAGCAGCTAAAAAACCTTTGGCCAATACGTTTTGTTGTATATAAAATATACGAGCATGCATCTTTGTTAGTATTTTCTAGGAAATAAGTGTTGTATTTCTAACTTTTTAAAAAAATCTCGTGCGTATTTCCTATCATATCAAACATTTTGTATATTCTTTTCTGTTTTCTCAAAAAAAAACGAGGATTTTTTCCAACACATGAAGATGAACCGACGAAGGAGTAGAACGGAAGGCCCACTTGTCAGCCACGTGTGCTTCTCGAACCAAGGATCCCTCAAATACCCGGCGTCCCGGCCGCCTCCCCTTCCACACCACGTCTTCCACCACTACCCGCCGCCGTAACCGTATGCCGCCCTCCACGGATCGCCGCCGCGGGGGTGGACCCGTGGCCACCGCCTCCCGCATGTGGCGCCCCCGCTACGCCGCCCCTGCCCCCGGCCCCGACGGCGCCGCCCCGATCCTGCCCCTCCCTACGCCCGCCCCGGAGGCCCGCCCACGCCACCGCCGCCCGCGCCGCCCCAATCACGGCAACAGCGGGGATAATCGCCGCCCCGACCGGCGTCAGGAGCAGAACGGCGACGCAGGACACCATCTCCACGGCCCGCCGCCGCCTGCCCCGGCCCCTGCCCGTGAGACTCGGGGCGATGGGGCGGTGCCGCAGCTGGTGCAGGAGATCCAGGACAAGCTCGCCCGCGGCGCGGTGGAGTGCATGATCTGCTACGACATGGTGCGGCGGTCGGCGCCCATCTGGTCCTGCGGCAGCTGCTTCTCCATATTCCACCTCCCCTGCATCCGCAAGTGGGTGCGCTCTCCGGCTTCCGCCGCCGACGCGTCCCCGGCAGCAGCAGACCCCGCCTCCGCTTCCCCCTCCTGGCGCTGCCCGGGGTGCCAGTTCGTCTACGCCACCCCCGCCCGCGACCTCGCCTACACCTGCTTCTGCGGGCGCCGGAGAGATCCCCCCAGCGACCACTTCCTCACGCCCCACTCCTGCGGCGAACCCTGCTCCAGGCCTCTCGAGAGGGCGGAACCGCCGGGCGCCAAGGGGGAGGACGCTGACGCCACCAGGTGCCCGCATGTCTGCGTCCTTCAGTGCCACCCGGGCCCGTGCCCGCCCTGCAAAGCATTCGCTCCGGATCGGCCCTGCCCCTGCGGAAAGCAGATCATCGTGCGGCGGTGTGCGGACCGGAGCACGCCTGTCACCTGCGGCCGCCCTTGCGAACAGATGCTGACCTGCAGAAGGCATCGCTGCGACGAGGTTTGCCACACTGGTTCTTGCGGGGATTGCGCCGTTCTCATCTCTGCGCGGTGCTTCTGCGGCAAGAAGAACGAGGCATTGATATGTGGAGACATGGTGGTAAAGGGGAATCTATCTGAGGAGGACGGCCTGTTTTCTTGCAGTGAGGTGTGTGGCCGCACGCTTGCCTGTGGCAATCATGCCTGCAAGGATATGTGCCACCCAGGGTCTTGTGGGGAGTGCGAGCTTATGCCGGGGAAGGTCAGTACATGCCATTGCGGCAAGACAAGGCTGCAGGAGAGGAGGGAAACCTGCTTGGACGCAATCCCCACCTGCGACAAGATATGCGATAAGAAGCTTCCATGTGGAGTGCACAGGTGCAAGGTCAACTGCCATGATGGAGAATGCCCACCTTGCTTGGTGCGCGTTGAGCAGAAGTGCCGTTGTGGCTCATCAGGTCAGATGGTGGAGTGCTATAAGGTCTCAATGGAAGAGTTCCGCTGCAACAAGCCTTGTGGCCGCAAGAAGAACTGTGGGAGGCATCGGTGCAGTGAGCTCTGTTGTCCACTGTCCAGAAAATTTGCACAGCTTGAAGGTGGCGACTGGGATCCCCATCTCTGCCAGATATCATGTGGCAAGAAGCTCCGATGTGGGCAGCATTCGTGCCAGCTACTCTGCCACAGTGGTCATTGCCCGCCCTGCTTGGAGACTATATTCACTGATCTCACTTGTGCCTGTGGCAGAACTTCTCTCCCACCACCTCTGCCTTGTGGAACACCAACACCATCTTGTTCGCATCAGTGCTCAGTTCCCCAGCCTTGCGGACATCCAGCCTCGCATTCATGCCATTTTGGGGACTGTCCACCTTGTGTGGTGCCAGTAATGAGAGAATGCATCGGGGGACATGTGATGCTGAGGAACATCCCTTGCAGATCGAAGGATATCAGGTGCAACCAACCATGTGGGAAGAATCGCCAATGTGGAGTCCATGCTTGCAACAGGCCCTGTCATCCTCCCCCTTGTGATCAGCCACCTGCAAATGGAGATGCTAGCTCAAGCTCTGGTGGCAAAGCTTCTTGTGGACAGGTATGTGGTGCTGCAAGGAGAGAATGCAAGCATACATGCACTGCCCCATGCCACCCATCGTCCCAATGCCCAGATTTGAGATGTGAATTCGCTGTGACTATTACCTGTTCTTGCGGACGAATCACTGCAACTGTTCCCTGCGGTGCTGGTGGAGCCTCCATGGGTGATAATATGTTTGAAGTCTCCATCATCCAGAAGCTGCCAATGCCTCTCCAGCCAGTGGAATCAAATGGGAGAAGGGTGCCTCTTGGGCAGAGGAAGCTTTCTTGTGATGAGGAGTGTGCAAAGATGGAGAAGAAGAGGGTCCTTGCTGAAGCATTTGACATCACTCCACCCAATTTGGATGCATTGCATTTTGATGAGAATTCAAGTTCATCGGATTTGGTTGCTGACTTGTTCCGGCGTGAGCCGAAGTGGGTGCTGGCCATAGAAGAGAGGTGCAAGTTCCTTGTACTTGGGAAGGTGAGAGGCAGTTCTTCAAGCAATCTGAAACTGCATGTCTTTTGTCACATGTTGAAGGACAAGAGAGATGCTATCAGTCTAATTGCAAACCGATGGAAGCTTTCTGTTCAGGTGGCTGGTTGGGAGCCTAAGCATTTTGTTATCATCCATGTCACACCCAAGTCGAAACCGCCTGCTCGCATCCTGGGGTCCAAACCAGGTGCACCTGTTACAGCTGCCCATCCTTACTTTGATCCACTGGTTGACATGGATCCGAGGGTGGTTGTCGCAATGCTGGACCTGCCACGGGATGCTGATGTCAACGCTCTAGTCCTAAGGTTTGGTGGGGAATGTGAATTGATCTGGCTGAATGACAAGAATGCCATAGCTGTCTTCAATGATCCAACTAGAGCAGCAACAGCGCTGAGGCGGCTGGATTATGGGTCTGCTTACCAGGGTGCTGTGATGTTTATGCCAAGCAGTGCTCAGGCATCTTCTTCAGGCAATGTTTGGATTGGAGGGCAGAAGGATGGAGGTCTCGCTGCTAGGAGCAATCCTTGGAAGAAGCCTGCTTCTGCTGAACCTGACATGTCCTCTGGAGACAGGACTGGTGTTGCTGGGCATGCCCCAGCACCAGGATGGAGAGGCGCCAGCACTACCTCTCTAGTCATGGGGACTCCAAACCGATGGAATGTTCTGGAATCAGATGCTGCTGCAAGCTCTGTTCCAGGCAACGAGTGGAGGAGGGCTGCTCCACGCACCGATGCTTCATACAGCGCAATACCAAACGCTGGGAATGCTGGGCCATCAGTGACCAAGCTGCAGCCAGATGTGGACGTGGACGACTGGGAAGAAGCTTGTGAATGAGGTGGCATCGGCAAGTTCAGTCCAGATGTTTTTTGTTCTTCTGGGATCGTGTATTAGTTTAATCTGCTTTGCTGGTAGTGGTACCATGTTGGTACCGAGCCTTTATGTTCTAGCACACATTTTAAAGTAGTTTGGTGATTGCCTGGTAGACTGTTTAAGTCAGAAGTGTTGATTTTTTTACGCAGGCAAATGAATCTCTGTAAGGCTGCTGCTTATTTTTGCATGCCTTTTGTTGAGTTGAGAAGAAATTACTATGCCACAAGGTTTCTGTCTTTTATTGGTTATTATAGGTTTAAAAAACGTGGGATGCAATTTATAGTTTTCCTCTGGCACCACTTCCCAAACCTTCTTGATTCTTCCCCGCAGGCGCAAACCCTAGGAGACGAGAGGAGAGTAGCTCATCTAGGGTTTCGTTGTGGATTCTATTATAAACTACCACATGTAAACGAAAAAAAAACTACAAATAATCTAGGTGGAATGATCTCAGATTCATTCGAACAAGTAACGATACAGTTATTATAACCATTATTGTTAGTCCCTGCTTTTGTTTGCGGTTCAAATTCTCCTGCATAACGAATGAGTTTTGTTTGTTAAATTCTGATTAATCTGACCCAAGGTTGATTTCACGTTTTTTTTGTAATAATAAAGGATTTCAGATCTTAATGCCAATCTTCTCGCGGTTTCCCTTGCTGCTGGGTAACTCAGTTGGAATTTGAATCGGTAGCGGTATGATGCCTTGGGGGTGTTTCTCGTCTGTTTGAAAGTTGGAATAAGCAATTCTGGTGTCTTAGGATGATCGACTGACGAGTTTGTGTGCTATTTCCATTTTCATTTTGCCTATCCATATTCAGACACTCTAATTTTCAGTTTACTTCTCAGTTGAACCGCGTCATTACCTTCTTAAAAAAAGTAGTTTTATCCTTTTCTTATGTTATGTTAACTTTGTTTTGGAGAAACAGGTGATACATTGGTGCACTGATTGCAGAACGAAGTGCATATGTGGCGTGGAACCAAACTGCTCCAACTGAAGGTGGAGAGGTAACTTATACAGACAAAAAGTTACAGTTGGAATTAGTAATTTCTTCAGGATTAGTACTGGGGAGGTGGAGACGCCACAAGTTTTCAGCCATACAAAGGAGGAGGGATGAATAAAGCGAAAAATCTGGTTGTGATATTGTTGACGTGTCTTCCTGGGGCATGTGAGCTCTCAGCCACTTTGGTTGTTTGATGTCTATGTGATGCTCGTGACAGACTTAATTGGTTCCCTGTGTTGGTTGGCATTTATTTGATTAAATCACTGCACATTTGCCTCTTCAGTTTCTTTTCCTTTTACCTTTCCCCATTTCTTTTGAACTGCTGATCTTGAGCTTACGTGCTGAAGTGGATTCTCCAAGAGGTGCCACCGTGTATGCCCTTTCATCCATCCTTGAAGTTGTTGCTGCTCCAGTTTCTTTTTTTCTTGAACAAGCTGCTTCCGTTTCTTGTTAGTGCCATGCCTTTGTTATGGCTGCTTCTCCATTCTTCACTGGCACTTTGATTTCATCTTCGTTCAGAATAAAAACCCTTTGATTCCATGTGCTAGGGTGTTCTATGGGTAATTGGGTATGCCAGATTGAAGTTCTTTCATTGTGCTAATATTTCAATGATTGGTAGCCTTCATTTTATTTTGTTCTACTGAAAGGCACACGATTATTTTTGAATCACCTATTCAATGTTTGAACCTAAACGCAAGCACATGTGTTACCTTAAACCTTCTCTTTTTTATTAACTGATTCAGTTTTCAGCAGAGCAACTATTCATCTTCTGGTCCACGACTTGATGCTGGGTCATATGTTGTTTCTTTTCCAAAAATTCTTACAGAAAAATCTGCAAACTTGCAGGAGATGGGGTGCTTCAATTCTAAGCCAAATGATGCCGGTGCAATCAGAAGAAGACCTGGGAACATAGGTGAGGTTGCTGTGTTTATACCTGGATTGCGGGTTCCTGAGAGTTTGGAGCTATCTCAGCCGCTAGGCGATGGCCACCCGAGGAGGCTGACCGAACGTTTGGCTGCGTTGAGGAGCCGAATAGTGGTCATGGCTGCTCATGAGGCATTGTCGGTGACTAGGCCCAGGAAGCGCACCTTTACACAGCATGGTTTGTCCATAGTTTGCATGATGGCTTCTTACTAATGTGAGCGAGCCAGAGAAAAGAGAAATACTTAACTCTCCGAGTATGATGCCCTGCAGGAGGATCTACATCAGCTGATCTTCTGCAGGCTTTGGAAGATTACTTGCCAGTTCTTGGACTGGTAAAAGAGGGTAAGTATTGTATACTTTTCTCTTCCATCTTGCTCTGAATCAGACCAAACAAATCTGTGCCGATTGTTGTTGCCTTCATTTTGGTTCAATGCTTAACAGGGAGCAACTTGGAAGATAAGATACAGTTTTCCTGGATGGACCAAGAGGATGATGCAGAGGTCTGCTTACCCTGACCCTGTCAGTGTATGTTTTACGGTTCTATTGAAGAGTACTGATTAGCTGACTTCTGCTGGTAGGAGACGGCATTGCCCAGTTCTTGGTATGAGGTGTTGTCAGTTTTGCACATGATAGCTATGCTGCGTTTATCTCAAGCAAATTCCCTGCTTCTTCCAAAGACATCACTTGAGGGTTACCATGCTAAAGTATCTGAAGGTCTGCAATACACAATACATTCATCGCTGCTGCAGAAATATATAATTATCTTTTTAAGGCTACAGAGGTGCATTTACAGATTTCAGCAACTGTAGTTCTTGTCAATTGCATTATGGTAATTAAGTTCTGTGATTCCATCCACTTTTCAGATAACAAACGTGCTTCCGTTGAAATATTTCTCAAGGCATCTGGGTTCTTGGAGTGTGCTATCCAACATGTTCTTCCTAGGATATCCCCAGAAAATAGGTGGGTGGAGTTCCTTCCCACTTGCAGAAGGCTCATAATTTTGTAGTTAGTGCAGGAGTTATTGTTCTTAACTGCAATTTCGTGTTGGAAAGGTCTTCCTGTAGACTTATCTGAAGGAGTCCTGAAAGCGATCTGCATGCAAGCTCTGGGTCAAGTATGTGTTCCCCTCTGTCTGTTTGCCATCCTTTTCTTCTCAGTTCATCTTTCTTGACAATAGCTGCTTGAAATCACACGATTCATGTGAAGATCAGCTCAACTGTCCACTTCATAGTTTATCATGCCATTCATTCACGCCATGCATAACAATCTCACATAGATGTTAGTTTTATGGCTCCTTTTACCTGTTTTGCCATCTGAAACACAAGCTAACCAATTATGTCTACATAAAAAATGTCATGCTGCCAGGCAATTGATGTCCAACTTGGGTTGGCAATTGACAGTCCAAAGGCTACCCTAGCAGTGAAAAGGAGGTTAGCATGTGAGATGGTCAAGTGTTGGCAACAGGTACGATTGATTGTTTCATCGTTTTTGTTTTCCTGTGTTTGATGTTTCGAACATATCAGAATTGCTCAGATGTTTGCACTTGTCAGTTGGCTCAGTTCAGTCCTGTATACTAATACTGACAGTAACAAGAATTTGCATGGCATTTGAAACATTTTAGTGATGTTTTGCCCTCGCTGGTTCTGCATACTGATATTATCGGCAATAAAGATATGCATGGGAAAAAAGGGATGTGATATTTAGTGTCACCCGGAGGCAATGCTCTGAATTTACGCAAGTTCTAAGTTGAACCACCCTTGGAACGCTGCTTTAGTCTAAAACTGTTGTGCTCCTCAAGTTTATCACGCCAATCTATGTAATACAATGAAGATTCTCATGTTCACGTAGAGCCCTGAAACTAATTAGCAGCAGAACAAGAGTTTCAAACAGTTATCCACTCCTTCTGCCTTCCTAATATTGTCATATAGTTTGAGAAATTAAGAATCAATCAATATACACATTTATATCCTTAGAATCATCCTGAATTTATTCGCAGGCACATGAAAGTATGGCGGATTTACCTCTGATTGATAGCTGGGGTGAGAAGCACAGGCTCTTTGTGACGTGGAAGTATATTGAAGCAAAAGTATGCGGTCTTTTCGCATTTCTTAAACATCATACTTTTTTCATAATTTCTCTTCGCAAGTATGTTTCTTATAAACTTTTTTTTTGTATGTAAGCAAAGCCTGTATCTGTCTCTTAGGGCCTGTTTGGAACGCAGGAATCAAAAACACGGGAATAGGAAAAAACGTAGAAATGGGGTGAGTGTGTAGTGGTAAAACAGAGGAAAGGAAAAACGCGGGAAATAACTAGAAGGGGTGTTTGGAACGCAGAGATCCATAACACAGAAAAAACGAGAGAGAGCGTTGAACAGCCGTAGGAAAGTTTCCAATGAGCTCATACCTCATTTTCTGATTCCTCCAAAAGTACAGGTGTAGCTGCCGTTCCTTTGGAAAGTTTCCTGTGGTTTCCTTTGTTCCAAACGATGAGAGAGAAGATAATTCCTCTGGAATGAGTTTCCTGTACGTTTCCTATGCTTTTCCTTTGATCCAAACGAGGCCTTACTGTTTGGTGTAGAGTGTTAATCATACACCCATAAAAAAAATTAACCATATAAGGTGGTAGAACTAAAAATGCTTTGCAGTTAGTGCCTTCGGTTTCAGTAAGTATGTGTAGAAACGAGCCTAAGGATGGCAACGGATCGGGTTTGGGGCGGATATCCGCGGGTTTCGGGTTTTGCGGGTTCGGGTTTAGGGATGGTTTTTCACCCACGGTTTTCGGGTTCGGGCCCCCGAAACCAATCGGGTTCGGTTTCGGGTTTGGTTTTCCACCCGTGGATATCCAATGGATATCCGAAATAAATCATTTGGAATTAAAACTCATGTTTTATATACTAATAATAATTTGTTTACTTAGATTATTAAATTTATTTAAAGTTGACTCATAAAAATATTTATTATTTGTTGCCTCTTGTTTATACATGTGAATATGTGTATATATATGCTTTTCAGTATCCATTCGGGTTTCGGGTATCCGTTCGGGTTTCGGGTATCCGTGGGTTTTGTTTTGGTGATGGATTTCCACCCGAATCGGTTTTCGGGGCGGATTTGGGTTTCGATTTCGGGTTTCGGTTTTGGGTGCACGAAGACTCCACCCGATCCAAACCCGACCCGTTGCCATCCTTAAACGAGCCATACAGCAAAAGGAGATAACTTTTGTATATCTCAACTAAAATGGTACAGGCTGCAGCATACTATTATCATGGTCTTATCCTTGACGAAGGCAACACGGAGAAATCCCACAGGATGGCCGTGGCAGCATTGCAATCTGCAGAAGAGTTTCTCAAGGAGAGCAAAGATGCGGCGGAAGCCTTCCACGCAGCACCTCCTGTTTCAAGGCAATGGCAATGCATCCATCCCTGTATTAGTTACCTCTGCGTGTCTTTCGTCTTTGGTTGATTGAGCTGTGGCGTTCTAAAATAAAAACTGTTGGTTGCGCAGAAGCCCGCCTGCGTGTGGATCGATGAAGTATCTCCACGAGAAGATCCAGAAGGACTCGTCCTGCAAAGTTCGCATCAACAAGGACCTCTACAGCAACGACAGGTGCTTGCTGTTACACTGATTTTACTCCCAAGACAGTTTACTTGCATTGTTGGTCTGGGTCTCTGTCTACAAGGCTGAACCTGTGTCGTGTGTTGTTGCAGCATCCGCGAGGCAGTGCCGGCGCTGCCGGATTTCGCTGTGGCTCTGAAGCCCGAGGAATACCGGCTCCCTGCTGTGACGGTAGGCGCGTCAAATGGCTAGAGCCAGGAGGCATCAGGAGAACATGTTCCAATTCCAAGCTGCTCTGCTCTGCAACGACGTTGAATCTCAAACAGTTATCCCTGCAGAGCCGCTGTGCTGTGTACGTGGTGTAATAGACATGGCCGCCGTGCCTGTAGTGTAGTGTAGTGTAGTGTAGGAGTGTGTGATTAATTACCATTTACTACGCAAGGAATTATTGGGATGTTTTGCACATAGTACTCTGGTTGTTATTGAGGGCCTGGTGCTCGCAAGTTCCACGCAAAAGGATCACGTGAAAGATTTCTTCTTTTCCTTGAGAAAGAACAGGCAACAGCATATATTTGTTACAGTAAACAAATTATAATTAGGAAAGGTTCTTATGCATAGTTTATTTACAAGCGATGGAGTCTTGATTTGTTATAGGAACTAGGAAGGAAAACTCTACTTGTAGAATCAGTGATTGCCATCGTGTTTCTATCATTCTACAGTGTACACAAGTACACACTGCAGACCCTCCTCATAGTAGTTGTTGGGTGGCTTTTGGTTTCGCATTACTTCTTCTTTATCACAATACATAGACCGGCATTTTAACTTGCCTGCTTATCTTGAAAAAAAAAGACAAAGTGAATTGGGGTTCACCTCTTTGTATTCATGCATATTCATGGCTTTAATTCTCACCTAGAATAACTTTACTAGGACTCTCAAATACCCCCACTTTGGGCTTTTTCAGGAATGATCCTCACTTCGGCATTGATCATACGGAAAGGATTGATTGTCGTAACAGGGAGCGAGTCACCAGTTGTGGTGGTTCTATCTGAAAGCATGGAGCATGGATTTCGAAGGGTTCATTCCTCCTTCCCGCAATACCATAATCAGCATTCCTTTGCCTTGTTTTACATTTTACATCTTACAGAATCCCCATGGATGCTGGTGATTTTTATGTCCATTGTATCTGTTATTTTTTTCACTCTGTTTTGGTGCTATGGCATACCACAGCACAGGGAAGATTGTGACTAATAACCTGAATTTCAGCAACATATGCACAATGCAAAAACTTGGTTGTTTGTTTTTCAGCAATATACTAGTTTCATCAGAAACTTATAAAATTTCCATAGCCATATTTGTGCCATTTGCTGATGGACTTAATTCTAGGACAACACATTATATTTGGGCATTTTTTACTCCATAGGTCTTACACACTACTAAGTTCCAAGTGCTGTCATCTGTCTTGCTGCAATAGGGAGCTCATCAGAGAAGTGCTTTTGTGTTGGGCTGTGAGTTTGTTAGAAGAACTCCAATAGGGACCTGTTATGCTGGTACGTTTTTGGTTGACTGTTGTCGTTTGTTGGTGCCAGTATCTGCTAATTGGTGCACTGGGGCTGCTGGTGGTAGCATCCAAGGAGTGAAGCTGAAGATAGGGATTGGTGAGCAGTGAGAAGAGTATGCGGAGAGAAGAAAAGCTGTATAGCACCGGCACAGGAGCTGTAGTCTGTAGAGCAACACGGCTACTATTATGTTTAACAAAACTGAACTAAGAGAACAATTGGAACCAAAAAGAAAAGGGTATACTCTCCCTATATATATATAGGAGAGTATATTCAGCTACAAAATAAGTTATTATGTAGCCACCTCCATTTACAATAATTTTATATACTAATTTACGATAATATTAATACATATTTACGATAGAATAGTAGTTCTATATATATATATATATATATATATATATATATATATATAACTACTACTCTGCAGCTGGCTATAAAATAATTTATTATGTAGCCACTTTGAGTTACGATAATTATTATGCTAATTTACATGATTATAGTAACTCCTTACTAAGTGGTTTACTATAATGTTACGGTAAATATCCCCATGTGTTATAGTAACATAATTATCGTAAATATGTATTCACTTTATCGTAAATTAAGTATAAAAATTATCGTAAATGGAGGTGGCTATAGAATAACTTATTATATAGCTAGCTACCGAATATACTCTCTCTATATACATATATATATATATATATATATATATATATATATATATATATATGAAGCTATATACAATTTTGGAGTATGGTGCAAGCGGTTGAGTCTTATCGTCTGTGACCGGAAGGTCCCGGGTTCGAGTCGCGGTCTCCTCGCATTGCACAGGCGAAGATAAAGCTTGCCACTGACACTTCCCCAGACCTCACACAGAGCGAGAGCTCTCTGCACCAAGTACGCCCTTTATATACAATTTCGGAGTACAAGTATAATCTCTCATCTCAGGGAGCAAACTCATGTGTTAAATTAAATGACAAAACGGATGTGTCGTGCAACCAAAATATGATCAGGATCAACGAGCTAGATGATATCCTTATTTGTAGGGAATTTTCTTGCATCTCTTATAACTGATGATCAGGATCAACGGGCCTGTTCGCTGATTGATACTGGTGCTGATTTAAGCTGGCTAATGCTGGGTTTTTTTGAGAGAAAAATACTGTTCACTGACCGATTTGGACCTGGTCGAAATCAACCGGCGAACATGCTGCTCATGACAATACACGTCAACCGCTTTCCCGCCAGAGCGGCCTGCCATGCCACCCATGGCGGCATCCCGCGCCGCCGTCGACCTCTCACGAGAGCTCTGCGCCGCCATCATCAAATCCACCTTCCGGCCCAACCTCCACCTCGCGCTCCTCGCCGCCGCGCCGTCCCTTCTCACCGCTGTCCTCCACCGCCTCTCCCCGCTCCCCTCCGCCGCGCTCGCCTTCTTCCGCGCGCTGCCGCCGCCGCATCCGCTGGACGCCTCGCTCGCCCTCCTCCGACTCCTGGCGCCGCACCAGCGCCACCACCCGGCCGCGCGGGCGCTCCTCCGGGACCTCTCCCTCCGCCACCCGCTCTCCTCCCCGCTCCTCCTCCCCTCTCTCCTCGCCGCCGCCGACCCCCGCGTCCCCAGCTGGCTTGTCCTCGTCCTCGCCCAGTCCGCGCGCGCCCACGACGCCGTACGGGTGTTCGACCAGATGCGCGCGCGCGGCCTCGCCCCCGACGCCCACGCCTGCACCGCGCTCCTCACCGCGCTCGCCAGGGCCCGGATGACGGCCACCGCGCGCAGGGTGTTCGACGAAATGGCCAGGGCCGGGCTCGCCGTCAGCACGCACGTCTACAACGCCATGCTGCACGTGTGTCTCAAGGCCGGGGACACCGCGCGCGCCGAGGCGCTCGTCACCAGGATGGACGCGGCTGGCGTGCCCTTGGACCGATTCTCCTATAACACCGTCATCGCGCTCTACTGCAGGAAGGAGATGAGGTACGAGGCCATGTGCGTGCGGGACCGCATGGACAAGGAGGGGATACGGGCAGATACCGTCACATGGAACTCCTTGATCCATGGCTTGTGCAAGAATGGCAGGGTGAAGGAGGCGGCTCAGCTCTTTGCAGAGATGGTAGCGGCACAGGCGACGCCGGACAATGTGACCTACACCACACTGATTGATGGGTACTGTCGTGCGGGCAATATTGAGGCGGCCGTCAAGCTCCGAAGCGAGATGGAGGCGACGGGCATGCTCCCAGGTGTCGCGACTTACAATGCCATTCTCAGGAAGCTCTGTGAGGATGGCAAGATGAAGGAAGTTAATCAGTTGCTTAACGAGATGGATGAGAGGAAGGTGCAGGCTGATCATGTGACCTGCAATACGCTGATCAACGCGTACTGCAAGAGAGGGGACATGACCTCAGCATGCAAGGTCAAGAAAAAGATGATGGAGTCTGGGCTGCAGCTCAATCAGTTCACTTACAAGGCTCTCATCCATGGATTCTGCAAGGCCAAGGAGCTCGATGAAGCCAAGGAAGCCTTCTTTCAGATGGTCGATGCAGGTGCTTTGATTTCATCTTATGGTTCCAGTTAGTACCACTAGCTAACTATAAGGACTGCATTTGGCAGTTTAAATGGCACTAAGATCATTATGTTGCGATCATAGGCAACCAGTTTGCAATCTCACTGATTGTCTTTCGATCATATCATAAACTCTGATGATGATGTGGTTGCTTTTGTTGTATGCAGGGTTTTCACCCAATTATAGTGTATTTTCATGGCTTGTCGATGGTTTCTGCAAGAAGAACAATGCAGATGCAGTGCTAGTCATCCCCGATGAACTTATGAAAAGAGGTCTTCCACCAGATAAAGCAGTATATAGATCTCTGATTCGAAGGCTTTGCAGAAAAGGGATGGTTGATCAGGCACAAAAAGTATTCGACCAGATGCAAGGCAAAGGCTTAGTTGGTGACAGCCTTGTGTACACCACACTTGCATACACGTATCTGACTGAAGGAAAGCCAGTTGCCGCTTCGAATACCTTGGATGATATGGCAAAGAATCAATTGTACATAACGCTCCAGATTTACAACTGCCTGTGTACCTCTTATGCTGATGAGAAGGAAACCCTCAATATGCTGTGGGTTCGTGCTATTGAGAGAGGCCTAATCAGGAAGAGTGTGTACAAACTGATGCACCAAGCAAGGCTGGAATCAACGAAGCTTGCAGTTGAGACTGGGGGATGTGCTCCTGTTTCAAGGCCAGACTATCTAGAGGCTACACTTGGTACTTGAATACAACTGGATCCAGGACATTCATGTTCGGCTGGTATTAAAGCCGGCTGAAGCTGTTTTGTTGTGAGAGAAAAATACTGTAGATTCTAGCTGATAAGCCGGCTGATAATTTCATCTCCTCCCATGTGCAACTTTGATGTTGTTGTTCCATGTGTCACACCCAGAATGAATGAAAATCTGATGAAGGAATTCACATGGGAGGAGATGAAATCGGCTTTGGATAGTATTGGGGACCCCAAGGCCCCGGGGCCAGATGGTATTTGGATAGTATTGGGGACCTCAAGGCCCCCGGGGCCCCGGGGCCAGATATCTGTCACCAAGTCCATGTGTCCCACTGACCCACTCCCCTGTTATCTGGATAGTATTGGGGAGTGGGACAAAGGACTTGGTGACAGATATCTTCTGGGAAGAAGATGCAGCCACCATTTTAGCTCTGCCGGTACATGAAGGTATGGATGATATCATGGCTTGGCACTATGATGCAAAAGGTGGTTTTTCAGTGAAGTCTGCCTACAAAGTGCACTGCGATGATAGCCTGAGGACGAGTCGGTGAGAGGCTGCATCTAATAGCTCCAATGAAATCAGCACTGACCATATGTGGGGGGAAATATGGAAGTTAAATTGTCCAAACAGAATTAAGCACTTCCTATGGAGAATGGCTCATAATTCTTTGGCCTTGTGCTGTAAACTCAAGAGAAGGGGAATGGATGTGGATACAAGCTATTTTGTGTGCAGAAGGCTAGACGAAGATGGAGGCCATCTCTTTTTGAAGTGCAAGTATGTAAAACAGGTATGGTGTGAGATGAACTTAAATGAGACCAGGGAGCGTTTGGCTTCATATGGGCCAGCAAAGGAAGTAGCTGAACATATACTAAGACTTGAGAGTGAACAGCAATTAAATGTCTTGTGTCTCCTGAATAATTGGTGGTGTGAAAGAAATAGAATCAGAGAAGGGGAAAGGAAAAGAGAAGGATGGGAAGTTGCTGCCATAACATCTAGACAAGCTGATGAAATCAGGAACTTGCAACACAAAGAACACATAACATCTAGGGGCGGAGGAAGCAGAAGTGGCAGCGCCAGTACCAGGAACTCTAAAGATTAATGTAGATGGAGGTTTTGATCGAAGATGCAGCAAGGGGAGCTGGGGTTATGTTATTTGCGATGAGGGAGGCAGTGTGATTCAAACGGGTGCAGGGAGCCTGGAGCATATCTTTGATCCGATGCACGCAGAAGTGATTGGCTGTATCAAAGGTGTAAGAGGAGTTGTACAATTGGGAATTGCACGTATTTGTCTGGAGACTGACGCCTTGCAGGTGAAATTGACTACCGCCTGGCCAATTTGGGAGGCCTCATCTATTACACGATGGCTTTGCTGATGCTGGTGTAGTAGCTTAGAGGTGGGACTTGGGCCGGGCCGGGCCAGGCCGGCAGGACCCTCTCATGCTTCGTGCCGCTTCGGGTCGTGCCCTCTAGGCACGGGAGGCACGTCGGGCCGTGTCGATATAGCACGGTAAATCTTTCTTTTCGGCCCAAGCACGGCCCGTGGCACACCGGCACGCTTTTGGGTCATGCCGGCCCAAGCATGACCCTCAAAATGTATCTGCTAGTTTTCTTTTTTCACTCGTGATATGAAATATATATATTTTGTGTGTATTATTTTAATGAAAGTTTTAATCATTTTCATAATCTATTCAAGAATTAGACGAGGGATAGTATAGTAAATGCTAGGAAATTACATTGTATAGTTGTACAAGTGTCTACGAGCCATTTTCGTGCCGTGCCGGTCCAAGCACAGCCCAAAATGCGGGTCGTGCCATGTAGCCCACTGTGCCGAGATCCTGGGCATGGCACGGCCCTTGTGTGCATGTCGTGCCGGCACGGCCCAAAATATTTCGTGTCGTGCCGTGCTTCGGGTCGTGCCAAAAGACCGTGCCATGACCCGCCCTCAAATGGCACGGCCCAAGTCCCAGCTCTAGTAGTAGCTCATATTCCAAGAGAATGTAATCTTAAGGACAATTGCATTACTGCCTTTGTTTTGAGCTCTAACCGTGTGTTTGCCCCTATTTTTTTAACTTTGCATGTTTGCCCTTGTTTTTCTAAACCTAAGCTACCATGTGCCCTGCTTCTAAACACCGCGAGGTGAAGATAAATCATGGCCTAGAAAAAATGTTTGGAAAAAAGAAAAAAGGAAAAAAAAAGACTATAGTACTCCTTATCCAAAATACACAGAGTCCTCGTTCTCTCTTTCACGCGACGTCTTTCGAATCGGAAAAAAGAGCCCGAGCAACCGAGTGGCGCTAGGGCATTGGGAGTGCGGCGGAGGTTAGTCGGTGTCTTTGGGCGTGATCCAGAGATCGGCCCAAATTTCTGGTCTTGCGGTGATGGGCTCGAACTGGCGGCCGGCCGGCGGATGACGGGTAAAAATTGGACTTCATCATTTACTTCATGCCGCCTGGGATGAGTTAGCTTATCAAAAGTCTTTGTGGTTTGTAGGACAAATGAGCGACGGCCGACGACATATAGAAGGAGCCTTGACTGCCTGTTAGCTTAGTCAGCTAGTAGATTTGCGGTGAAAGCTTTTTGGGGTTGCAATATTGAGCCGCATTGGGGATTCTATTGAGCGGCGTCCGGCGGGCTGCTCAACTGCGGCCACATTGCGACACAGGAACGCCATTGCGGCAAGAGAAGAAACGAGGGGCGCTCTTACCGCTTTGATTTGCGACATGGAACCGCTTGGGTAAATTTCTTGGACTTCATCATTTCTGCATCTGCAGTAGTGGTTATTCGCTTAGATCTGTAGGATGAGTTAGCTTATCAAAAGTGTTGTGGTTTGTAGGACAAATGAAAACCACATAAAACTCGTTGTTATGGTTCGGGCACATTGGAGCTTGCTGGATGGGGGTCCAAAGACATATAGGAGGGAAACCTTGACTACAATTGCTAATAGTCATGACTATAGCTTGCTGCAACTAGTAGATTTCATTGGTGAAAGCTTTTTATGGGGTTCAAAGCAATACATTTCTTTGTGGCGGGCATTGGAGGATGATTCTATTGAGATTAAAACTGATGAACAGTTGTCCGAGTGGTTTGAGCTCAACAAAGAGTATGGGGAAGTCCACATTGTTGGTCAAATCAATAACTTCGATGGTCCATTGCAGTTCTCACTGACCAAACGTAGGATTCACCTTACTGTTCGGGACTTTCCAACTCTTACTCCTAGTACTGTACCTATTGATTTGGACCCTTTCATAGATCCAACATAGCCCACTCAGCCTATAAAAGAGCCTGTCAAGGAAGACAAGAAGGTGCACAGGCAAGTCGCAGATGATATGAGGAAGAATGCAAACACTCGACATCTATAACATGAATCTCTTGCTGCACTAAGTGATAGCAAGCTATGACTTTAAATTGGTTGCATCTTCTGACTCTGACTTGGATGCATCTTAACTCTCGACTTTCAACTTGGATGCATCTTTTTGGAGATGCATGATATGACAAGGCAGATGATCACCAAATTTCAAGCAAGGAGGAAAATTGCTCAATCGACCGAGTATGAACCCGATCATGAAATATATTTAAGGAGATATATTCAAGTGGAGATCATATCGCAATGTTATGATATAACTAAAAGGCTCTTACAGCTCAAAGCAAATCTATTGTGAAGATGACAATGATGATATTCCTATCTGTTCTTATGATGTTGATGCTCCATGTGTTGATATTGGTTGTGTGTTTCCTGATGTGAATCAGTGCAAATCGGCGTTGACCCAACATGCAATCTTAAATGATTATGCTTTTCGTCTCTTTTCTAATGAAGAAAGATAACGACGATTTCTTGAGCCAAGTGCTTGAGAGCCGATAAAGCCACCAAACGAAGGGGGAGTGAACATTTTATGCATCTACCAAAGAAGAAATTTATTGGATGCAAGGTATAGCGCTTTTTTCTTTTGTTGGGCTGTTCCATAAATTTTGATTTTTAGACTGATCTTGGCATCTTCATTCATAGCTTGTTTGTTGGGCCGACAAACTTGATAAATTTTGATTTTTAGATTGTGCTTATCTTCATTCACAACTTGTTTATTGGTCTGTTCCATAAATTTTGATTTTTTAGACTGTCATCTTCATTCACAACTTATTTCCCTTGCAGGTTAAGACGAACGGGCCCATTCACACATGCAGTTCAGTTATGACAGGGCATTCAGGGGTAAGAAAAAGGCTCTTGACATGATATTTTGTAAGTGGGATGACAATTATGACTTACTGCCCACATATAGAGCCGAGCTACTCAAATCAGTTCTAGGAAGCATTGTTGAGCTTGATACGAAAAATCATCATGGGGATGTTTGTTTCATGACATTCTTTGTGGCCCTCAAACCATGCATCGAGTGAGCCTGGTGCAAGCGGTAGAGTCTTACCGCCTATGACCGGAAGGTCCCGGGTTTGAGTCGCGGTCTCCTCGCATTGCACAGGCGAGGGTAAGGCTTGCCACTGACATCCTTCCCTAGACCCCACACAGAGCGGGAGCTCTCTACACTGGGTACGTCCTTTTTTATGTAGGCCCTACATTGCTATAGATGCTACCCACCTGACAGGAAGGTCAAGGGGTCAGTTGGCAGGTGTTGTTGCTGTAGATGGGAATAATTGCCTTTTTCGGTTGCATATGGTGTAATTGAAACTGAGTCCATAGAAAGTTGGACATGGTTCATCCAGAACTTGAAGGTTGCTATTGGTACACCTATAGGATTGGCTATCAGCACAGATGCATGCAAAAGGTCTTGGTAAGGCTGTGCAAGATGTGTATCCAGGTGTGGAACATAGAGAATGTATGAGGCATTTGTGGAAGAATTTCAAGAAACATTACTCTGGTGATTTGTTCAACTATAACATGTGGCCGGCTACCAAGGCTGCACTATTGAGAAGTTCAATTGGCACATGGGGAAAATACAGGAGAAGTGCACTCAAGCAATTGCTTACTTAGATGAGAATCATCCATACTTGTGGAGTAGAAGCAAATTCTCTGATCAGTGCAAGGTAGACTATATCAATAATAACCTCTCTGAATCTTTCAACAACTGGGTGAGAAAAACTAAAGACTTGTAGATTTTGGAGATGCATGATATGACAAGGCAGATGATCATATCCAAATTTCAAGCAAGGAGGAAAATTGCTATGTCAATGGAGGACAGCATAATCCCTGATATAACTAAGGCTCTTACAGCTCAAAGCAAATCTATCGAGGAGCATGAGGTTTTAAGATGTGCCAATAACACAGCTGAAGTTACTGCACATACATCATCAGGAGCAGTTTTCAGGTATGCAGTTAACTTGGGGCTCAAGACATGCAGTTGTAGGCCGTGGCAAGTGAGTGGAAAGCCATGTAAACATGCTTTAGCATTCATAGCAAAACTTAGTAGAGAGGTGCGAATGGATGACTTTATCCATGATTATTTCTCTGTTGACAAGCTGAGAAATGCATATTCAGGCGTGTTCAATCCAATGACATCAAAGCATTTTCTGGCAACATGTTGATCTTGATACAAAATCAAAAAGGCTAAGTTGAGAAGAAAGCCTGGCAGGCCAAGAAAAACTAGGATTAAGGCATCAGATGAACCTGGTGCTAGGAAAAAAAAGAGGTGCCCTAAATGCCATGAACTAGGCCATACAACAAAGAAGTGCCAAAAGGGACTAACTGCTAGGCAGAAAAGGGGTACAGGTAGACGGTCATCAACTACAGAGTCATCCAAGTATGTCATCTATGTGTACTCTTTTCTAGTTTCTTATACTTTGAACAAGTTTATGCCACATCCTACATTGGATATTTACTGATGCATTTTTACTACTTTGTTTTGAAGTGACGGTGCCACTAATGTTGGAGGAAGACCACCAAACTGGAAGGGGGAGGTGGAGCGGTAGAGGCAGATGAAGAGGAGGAGGAAGAGGTGCTTCAAGGCTTGCTGCTTTGCTCAATGTGTAGAAATGACCACTGCTTGGGATATGTAATAACTAGTAGGTGATTTGTTGTGTATGTGCTAGGCCATGTATGACCTGGACATGATTTTGGCATGTGATGCATTTATTTTGGTCTGCTTAGTTGTGATCAGGACATGACAAACTTGATGTGGTTCCTGTAGACTCTTGCATTATGATGCAAATATTATGCTTATATATTATCTGGAATCTCTTCACGTCATGTTTGCAAAATATTATACTTTGATATTTATTCAAAATATGTATTGTCATTTGTCCAAAATTAATGGAAATAAGTCTGTACATAAAAAATCGGATTGATTCTTGTGTCATTCATGTCAAGGGTATTTTTGTCTTTTCAGCTGTACTTAACACCGTTAAGGGCAAGTGGAAGCTTAAGATTGAAAAAACAGGGGCAAATCTATAAAGTTAAAAAAACAGAGGCAAACGTGCAGTTAGAGCTCAAAACAAGGACAGAAATGCAACTCGCCCAATTATGAATCAATTAGCTCATGCTCTAGCGGTACCAGGGAATAGCTGCCCTTTTGATTCAGACTTTGTAATGGCAGTGGCAGGTGTGCCTGCGTGTGCATCGGTTGCGGTGTCCAGAGATTTAGCTGGCTTGGTTATTTAATGGAATCACTCCGGTTCCTCTCAAAAAAAAAAATTATCTTCAGTTGCGTTGTGAATTGTTCCTCCATGTTTTGCTAATTGTGCTTGATTGGCAGAAATCTTCAGTTCAAAAGAATCTACAGTTCAAAAGAAGCCCCCGCTAAGAGCCTAGACCCGACCTGTCCAATTGTATGTATTTTGGCCCAATACTGCCAGGCCCAAGGCCTATGAGGAAGAAGATAAGCTCCTCTGTCGCATGTTTTGCTTTTCTTGGTCTCGTCCTTCTTCTCGAGGGAACGACTCTCACTGTGAAATTTCACGGCGATGTCACGGCTACTCCCGCCTGCTAAAACCCTCCTGCTCTCTCCCTTCCCGGCGTTCTCGCCGCCACCGCCTCCTCATCCTTTTCCTCTTCCTCGCATCCACGTCCGTACATCAGCTGGGAGAGGCGCTGCGGCAGAGAACGCGGCAGCGTCCGGGACGACGGCGAGGGAGCGGCGGCTGGTCAAGGTGCGGGAGGAGCGCCGCCGCCGCGAGTACGACCGGGAGCACACCTACCCCGGATGGGCCAAGTACGCAGCTTGTGCCTCCTTGTCCCCTCTCTCTCTCTCTCTCTCTCTCTCTCTCACACACACACACACACACACACACACACACACACACACACACAGTATTTACTGGCTGGAATCTGGATGTCTTCGTTTGTTCAGTTTCTTGCTTGTTTCATCTTGGCCTTCCCATCCTGTCGAAATCCAGATGGCGGCCTGCTGTTTCTTAATGCTGTGGTATGGTAATGCAGGGTTCTGGAGAACGCCTGCAGAGACGATGAGGAGCTCCGCGCCATTCTCGGTGATAGCATCGGCAACCCGGAGCTCATGAAGCAAAGGGTGAGCGCTGCTGCTGCGTTCACTGCTCTTTTGCTCTTCCCCGTTTCGCTGTTTTACTGAGAGGATTTGTTGCTACCCTGATAGACAGTACTTATGCCACGCCTTGTGTACGTGATTCACAGATCCAAGAAAGGGTGCGCAAGAAAGGCAGGGCTCAATTCAACAAGTCCAAGACAGGCTCCATTGTTGCTTTTAAAGTCAGCTTCCGAGAGTGAGATTCTCTCACCCGCTGTAGTCACGTTTGTATTTCTCTGTTTGCCATGTCAAAGGATCAGAAGTGGAGTGTGCTAATAGTTCCTACAGCACACATGATGCTGTGATAGTTTCAACTTAATTGGACTACCTGAGCTGCTAAACACATATGTTTCTAATGAAACGGCTCCATGTTTCTGCAAAAAGATATATTTGGCATTTGCACTCCGCTGACCTCATATTTTTTTGATCCTGTATAATTTTAACGGCCAAAGATAAATAGATGATCATCTCCTCAATTTACATCTTCAACCAACTTGTGTTTACATGCTAAAACTTTTGTTATAATCGGTTTTCTTCCTCATTGAAAGATTATAAATCTGAAATGGGCCACTCTAGCATATGAAGATGAATCAACACTGAATAACTAGGTGTCTGGGTTAATGGCACTCACATTTCACAGGCAGTAGATTTGATCCATGCCGTCACACCATTCCTTCCCTTGCTCTCTCTATGTCTGATTCTCCGAGTCCAAATGAGTTGTGCCAATATCTGAATATTCATGTTTGTTTCTTGTTTATTCCACTTTCAGATGTAATAGACCTTAGATCCTACCTTCTGTAAAAGCTGGGGGTTGATGAAATCCTTGTTTTCGTAAAAAAAGATCTTTAGCAAGTTAACCTTGATTGACATTTGTTCTTTTATTATTGCAGCTTCAACCTGTTGAATTCATTCATTTGGTTTGAGCTCTTTGGAGAACCAACAGATCGAGATGTTGACCTGCTTGGCGGTGTAAAGTGGCACTGTACACTTCCATTGGATTCTCCTTATTCAGAAAACAACATACTGTCTTGACATGGAGTGATTTTCACAGGTAATTCAGGCTTGGTACGTCATGGGAAGGCTAGGAGCTTATAATTCTTCAAATTTGCAGGTTGGGTTCATTCAAATGTTCCTTTTTATTTCCTTTGTTGGCTACTTAACCTGCCAGCTCTTTCGAAAACATGTAATGTTGTCAAATATGTCAGCTGGCCAACTCAATGATGGACTATGACCCTTCATATGATTCTGAAGAAGCTTCCTCAGTAATGCCATCATCTTTCCATGATATCAGCGATGTCGAGTTCCAAGACAATTGGGCCAGGGTTTGGTGAGCATTGGAATCATTTGACAGTTTGGGCACTTAAAAAAGGATGTGTGCAAATTCTGAAACTCCCCTCACTTTTTTTCCCCTTTCAGGGTGGACCTTGGAACCTCGGATTACCTTGGCTTGGATGTATTACTAAACTGCTTGACACAGTTGAGCTCAGAGTAAGACATCTTTCACTGTTCATGTAAAATATAGTTGCAATTTTTGCTTGGAGGTGGCTTTATTACTGGTCGCCTCATTATCACCCCAAATATGGAGATCAATTGGCTCCGGAAACCTGATATACGTATGTAGCCAAACTCAATCTGTGAAGATTAACCTAGAAAGAATCAGAGAGACCTTTAACCCCTCCAGGAGGGTAGAGAGATCTTTAACCCCTCCAGGAGGGTATATACTCCTAAGTGTTAACTAAACTAGCCATTTTTACACTCTTGAGCGCTAGCTTTGTACATGACCACACAACATCACTTTCAAAGCAGGCCACATGCATAATGAAATGCTGTATATTATTTTTGAGATTTGAAAACATTGCACCTTATAACTCAGCTTTGTTGCCTTCAATGAACCTGCAGGCACTTGGGTATCAAACAAGTGGTTTTTGGAGGCAATAAAATGGGTTACTGGGAAGAGGGCATGACGAGCTCAGATTATGGATACAAGCATTTCAAGATATGATATTGACAGGTGACATGATGTGGTGATGCAAGGCTGAGCGAGAAATTTGAGCAAGGACTGACTGAAGACTGCCTGTATCTCGATGTGCTCTTGAATGTAAATAAATAAATAGATAAATTGTCATGGGTTTTATTGAAACAGCAAGGCTAGGAAAATAGAAAAATACGGATGCAATGTCAGGAAAACTTGATGAGTCAGTCAGGTGATTTTTACATACTGATCAGGAAATTTTATAAAGGGAAGTAACGTGAACAAGGTGTCACAGTTGATCACATGCTTTTGCTACATCATTCTTGAACTTGGGAAAAGTTGCGGACAAACTAGTAGTGTCTTGGCGCGTTGTTTATACAGCCATGGTGGAAGGCAGGCTGCACGAGATGAAGCTGGTAGCCAGACCGGCTGATACTCCATAGTCTTATCAAAACGGATCCATTGGTACCTGCATTTTCCCAACCCTTTTCATAGTATTCCACAAGCTGATATTAACATGAAGTTACAAGTACATCGCTCATCCATCCACGCATATTTGCCACCGTTACATAGATCAGCTCTCGTGGAACCCTAAATGTTGCAACCGCTCTACAAATAAAGCATACAAGTTCAGCCTATACACCATTTCCCAAATCAATGAAACAAAGATGCCGATCCTACATCCTCGCTAGTTACTAGTCCTCTCCATGCTGTTGGTCCTGGCATTCTCTCGCATCTTCTCCACGATATGCCTCCCTTTCTCTTCGATAGTCCGCCTCTTCTCCTCCAGCTTGTCTCCCATCCTCTTCCCGAAATCCATCATCCGAGCTCGCCTCCCGCCTTTTCGCTTCGCGTCCTCTCCAATGGGTGATGCTGACACCTGCGGCTGCTCCCCTGCTGGTATCACTGCCCTCAGAGATGTGGACATGGGAGACATAACTCTACTTTCTGAAGCATCTTCCTGGAGTTTCTCTGTGATCAACAGCGGCTTCCTCAGTTCCTCATTTCCATCGCTATGGACAGATTCACTAACCGGAGCAGATGAAGACTGGCTGTGCAATGATGCTTCTGCCATAGGCTCTTGTTTTGCCTCGTCAATGGATGCCACTGCTCTCAATGATTCCTCGCTCCCACTTGATGAATTAGGTAAACTTGTCATCGGCCTTTTGCTACTAGCATCATCATTTGCGCCACCTTCCTCAGGGTGAGCTGGTGGTGTAACTGTAGCATGGCTTCTCATCTCAGTGGGTTCGTGATTTAGCCAAATAAAAGGAGCATCCTTGCGAGGTAACCAGTCATCCTTTTCTGCCAACATCCATGGCATGGAGATGCTTTCACAATTTGGAAGCACTAAGCTATCTCGAAGCGAAGCCTGAACAGTGAACCATGTTTTACAATCAAAACAACTTTACCAAAGCAAGAATATGCTCAGAGCAAAAGGTGCATTCAATACCTTGAATCTGTTACCAATAAGTGCAGCGATATGACTGTTGGTGATTTTCCTATCCCCAACAGAAGATTCCAAATCCCATTCTAGATCAGGCATTGACGTAAATCCATACCAAATTTGATCAGAAGGAGGGGGCTTCATATGCACCCGCAAGACACCTCGAACAGATGAAATCCTTATTGCCAGAGAAAGAGGAACCTGCAGCGGAAGGAAATGCATCATACACGTGAAAGTACTTCAGTAATACTAATAATAGCTAAGGTTTTGAAATTAAATGTCCTATTTATGGGGGGCCTCCTATGGTGCACTGGTAGAGCCCAGGGTTGTGGGGATTAATAAGGTCAGGGTTCAATACTGACTCTCCTCATAAACAAATATCACAGTGTATTGCCATTTCCATTATCTTGTTACGCTTTCATCAGGCATAGAATGTATAGAAGTCCTACTTAAACAGTTTTAAATACTTTGAGTCAGCACCTATCAGGACAAAGGTGACATGACGCAGAAAATTGCAGCAAAACGCATGGAGACAGAGGGAGGAGCAAACCTGCGAGACATGATCGGCTATTGAGTGCAGGATAGTTTTCCATCTTGATATATATGCTGAAGTCCATCCAGTGTTCTTTGATTGACTTGATGCATCTGTTACACAAGCATTGAACTATCACATTCATGATCCAAATCGAAGTTTGATGCATACGAGTTTTTACCCTTTTCCTTTATGATTCTCTCAGCTCAGTACTTTGTCACAAAGATATATTAGCAAACTAAAGAAAGGAACTGTGAATTCTAGTATTGTGTACCTAATGTCCTCTGCATGGATAAATAAATCCTAACAATATTAAACAGTCAACCAAAGGAATGAAAAAGTTGTTGGACCATACATTCTAGCAATGTAATACCTTAAGTCTGAACAATCATAAATAAGAAAAAACAGGACAACATACTCCTTAAGGTACACAATTGTATGATTTGTCTTTATTGTTCAAACAACCATTGAATCACTTCACTACATAAGAACAAATAATGGTTCCAGTAGATATATTAAACAAGGAAAGACATAAGAAACTAAAAGAGACCTGCTTCATCATTCTCCCCAGTTGAAGAAGCTGATTTATGCGAGCCTTTAAATTGGTTACCATACTGTTCAATACTCTCAAGAAGATCAGAATCAACCTCTCCATTAGCATCTGCTCCAAAATTACTTTTCATGATGTCCTTTTGCAGCTCCGGTTCCTGAACCTCAAGCCTTGTTTCAATGTGCAGCAGTATCCCACTCGAATACTCAAAGTCAACTTCAAAGGCCCATAATTCATTAAGATCCAGCGGAAGGACTCTCATCTCATGCACATAAGGTGGAAGTTCTCCAAGGCTAAAGTTCGTAAGTGTAATTTCACCCACATAAGATGGAGTCCTCATATTTGACAGAGTCCTCTGACCAAACAAAAGATCAATTAATAAAAGATATTGATACAAGTGTATTTAAAGTGAGCAGTGTATCAAACCTGAATGCGTGCTTTGATGGCCTTGTTTATCTCATCACTCATTTGAGCATCGAAAAACAACCGTGATGACAGGAGGTTCCAACAAAGTGTACCTTCATCAGCAACGCGATCATCTGCATTCACCTCAGATGAAGTTGAAAGCTGTCCAGTTTGATTCAATGCAGCAGGTGGGGCAGTGGCTTTTACAGTATCTTGCGATGAACTGCTACCGAGCTTGTCCTCTTGTGGACCTATTAATGCTTCAATAAATGGTGCACCCTGATAGCTGCGCAATTTATCGAGTATCTTTTTTTCACCTTGCACTGATGACCCCGAACTTGTTTTGCCATCTAAGGGTGCCTTCGTAGATGCCTTCTTTGCCAACTTCTTGAGGAAAAGACGGACTTTTGAAGATCCATCAGTCTTTGATGTCCTGTCCATAACCTCATGGTCCTCACCAGAGAGTATTGGAGGCTTTAGGAAACATGGGTATTCAGAATTTAATGATGATATATAATTGAGGAACTTTTCGCTCAGCTTGGCATGCCAATTTAATTTTTCCTTGTCAGCAGTAGCTGCAATACGGAGTGCTTTACACCATGATTCCTTCTCCCAGGAAGTGTCTGTATAAAGATAGCACACCTTGCTTCCATTATAAATCTCACTGTCCTTGCTTTCTAATTTTATTGGGTACCTCTTAGCCCTGACAGTTAGCAACAGAAGTAAAGTTACATCAAGAGTGAAGCAAGATAAGTCAATGATCAGAATCAATCCTAAAGAACCTTATAGGCAAAGAAATTTGATTGACAAGCACACTTAACTACATTGTACGATGAATTTCATTTGTACAGAAGTTTCAAGAAATAAAATGGACTTAAATTTATCCAATTGCAACATATACATAACCCTAAGGCAAAGCTTCCAATGTCCATATTATTTAACAATATACTTAAGGATTATATCTGATAACTAAGAACGCACAGTCAAATTCAACAAACTTGTCATGTTTACACAAGCAGTGATTGATGAGTAACTGACAAATGGTATTTAGTTTGCTAGCACTAACCATTTACGTGAGGGCATACTTGACGCAGAAACTGCAAGGACCGTGCAGTTCAAAAGCTCAATGGTTGCTTGGGAGCCATCAGGAGCAGACAAACAAAGGGAGTGTCCCTTGATTTTAGCCATCTTCTTTGCAGGGAAAACCTCCACGATATTCTTCTTGTCTTTTGTCTCTTTGGGACCTCCAACTGACAAGCGTTCATTACTAACTTCTGGCATTTTTTCTGGCTCCAGTATACACAGAGAACCCTGAAAACATATAACGCTACCTGTCAGTGTCAAAGGTAATCTAGTTTAAAACAAAATACAGCTAAGAAAGGGCATCTATAATAAGTCGATAAATGTGATACACAGGAGTTGGGATTACATCTTACAGTGGCAGAACAAACAAATGGTACAGACAAGAGGGCTTTGGAATCAATTTGCAGTAAGAATTAAGAAAGCAGCAGCACTGGTTTTAGTACTTCGCAGCAACTAAAACTTACGATTGAGACACAGACTCCCAAACTATTTTTGGAAACGAACATCAACCAATTGCGGGGATCGAATTAATCGACATGGATGCACACATCAAGCAGCAACGCAAGGAAGAAAATACACATAATGCCATGAAAATCAAAAGGGAGAAAATACACATAATGCCATGAAAATCAAGAGTCCAACGTTTGGAGGGTCATTTTTACGAAGTCAACGATTGGAGTCCTAATACTGCGAAACGCGACGATTAGAGTCACAAATATGCAATTTTTACAGCTACAAGCGGTGCGGCCTACATAATACAGGCTCCATCACATCACATGAGGAAAAGCTCCTGGAGTGAGCTTCCGCTCGCTCGAAAATCAAGCAGGCAGACAAGCGGGGAGGGGACGATGGATCCCTAGAAACCGCATCTCCTCAAAGCTCCACTCCAGCAAAGGCAGCTCCTCTCACCCCCACGGCCGTGGATGCCCTAAGCTAAGGGCGGACACGAGCGAGCGAGCCGAACCGAAGGGAGAGCTGAGCTAGGCGCAGCAACAGGACGAACGCGGCGCCCCCACTCACCTGCTTCTCGTAGGGGAAGGGGCGTTCCCCGGGCAGCTCGTCGGCGGCCGGCGGCGCGTCCTCCGGCGCAGCCTTCCTGCGGCGGAGGCGGCGGAGCAGCAGCAGGAGCGCCGCCGCCTCGAGCGCAGCCAGCGCCAGGGCGCCGATGAGGAAACCTAGCAGGAAGGGCAGCAGCGCCATCGCCGGGCGCCGGCGACGTGGGGGACCTGGGTGTGAGGTTTTTGGGCGAGCGGGGGAGCGGATTGTAAAAAGAAGAAAAGGTGGGGGGGCGTTTGCCGTGGACTGCCTGCCTTTCTCCTTTTCTTTTCTTCTCTTCTCTTCTCTTTAGCGTGTCGCCGTGTACGAGAGTCGAGAGCAGAGGAGCGCGTGGACGCGGAGACGTGTGGGTCCGGTTACGGTAATGGTCTTGGGCCTACATGTCGGTGCTTGCTTCACGCAACGGTTGTGCAGCATTTTTTTCCCCCTTCCTCTTTCGTCTGGTCTTATCTGTTAGCGCCTGTAACGTCCCGTCTTCCTCGGTCGCCGTCCGCCGCTCGCTTAAGCATCTAATAAACGCTTTTTCCTGAGGGACATAATCATAATCATTTTCCATACCGCCGTTCCTTCTTTCAGCGCTTTTGGCCGGCGCTACGGTCCAGCGACACTCATCGTGCCCCGACGAAGCTCAAATGTGAGAACTTCCCTCAAGGAACCCATCGCCTGCGCCAAGACGCTTAACCTTGAGTTTTTTAAGAGATGGACTTTCGTTAAAGAAAAGAAGTTGCAACTTGTTTATACGAGTATCGATATTAATCCTTGTTAAGTCCGGCGTAGATCGGTGTTACATTCATCACCTCCTTAGGGAGACCGGCATGCCTCTACGTTCGTTGCCCTAACCCCGTGCCGAAACGTCCCCTCTTACATCCGTGTGTTCGGTCAAATTTCCTGCACTGTGCTAAGCATGCCATGCCTCACAAATGGGTGACCACTGGTCCAGGGCATACTTGACGCATGCAAGGACCGTGCAGTTCAAAAGCTCAATGGTTGCTTGGGACCATCAGATAAACAAAGACGCAACACTTCTTTTAGTGGAAACCGCAATATTCTTCTCGGCTCACTGATACCTCATACTAACGTCCATTTTTCCTCCTCGAGAACCCTGAAAACATATAACGCCCTGCTTCATAATCTAGATACAGCTTTTTAATAGTCGACATAAATGTGATACACGCATCTTACAGTGGCAGAACCAACACAAGAGGGCTTTTTTAAGAATTAAGCAGCTTTTTAGTACTTCTCAACTCATCGCGCCCAGACTCAAAGAACTTTTTGGAAACTCGGGATCGAATCGACCACATCGCAGCTCACAAGGAAGCCAAATGCAAAATACACATAATGCCATTTAACCTTGGAGTTCTTTTTAAGAGATGGGCTTCTGCGAAAAAAATTAGCAACTTATTTGTACAAGCGGTATCCTATTAATCCTATTAAAATCCAGGCGAGGGAAGGGGACGATGGATCCCTAGAAACCGCATTCCTCAAAGCTCCACTCCAGCAAAGGCAGCTCCTCTCACCGGACGTCCGATGAACGCGGACACGAGCGATCCGGACGTTGATGTCATTACTCCGTTTCCCATGCCTACACCCTGGTACGCTCATGTGGGGCCCGCACCACCTAGACCGGAGCAGCAGCAGGAGCGCCGCCGCCTCCCAACCAACAACACGAAGACCGCCGGCGACGCTGGGTGTGAGCTCGAGCGGATTGTGCAAGAAAAGTGGGGGGCGTTTGCCGCTTTCCCTTTCTCCTTTTCTTTTCTTCTCTTCTCTTCTCTTTAGCGTGTCGCCGCACGAGAGTCGAGAGCAGAGGCGAGGAGGAGCGCGCGCGGAGACGTGGGGACCGCCGTGTCTCGTCGCGGTGCCAACGCCGCAACGGTTGTGCAGCAAAGCAGCTGCTCTGGTCTTATCTGTGGTCCCATGTGCAACATATGTCGATAAATTTGCGACACCATTTCTACTTTTGCAACATCTAGATAAAATACTTGCAACATACGTTCAAAAATAGTTGAAACACTTACAACATACGTCTGAAACACTAGCAAAACACCTTAAAACACTTGAAAACCATTATAAACGCATGTAACATCCAGATCTAGTTTTGCAACATCTAGATAAACACACTTGCAACATACATCCATACGCTTGCAACATGTATGTTATGCAACATCTAGATATACTTCTGCAACATCCAGATGAAACACTTGAAACATATGTTTAAAACAACTAAAACACTTGAAACATATATTCGCAACATGCGTATATAGCCATTACAACATACACAACATCCATGATAAAAACACTTGAAAACAACTTCTGAAACACTTGAAACATGGCGGCGTCAGCCATGGCCTCCCCGGTGGGGAATCACGGTAGCTAACAAGATAAAATACGGCACTTCAAGCAATGGAGAGGAGGATGGCGGCGAACACTCAAAACGGTACAGGCGCTTTGAAGAACGCGCCGGAGCAACTCGCCGCCATATATTCGCTTACGGACCACGCATAGCCAGCTCTCAAGAACTTCGGGGCGAGTGGTGAGTAACGGTGGAGAGAGAGGGAGGAGGCGCGAGAGGCGCTTTGAGATAGCGCGGCAAACCGCGTCATTGTGTTTCTGCACAGGAGAGCGATAGCGTGGTCGCGGTGGAGCATGCCGTAGCGATGCGGGCGCGAAGAGTGGGTTCGAGAATGGATGCGGGCACAATGGCGATTCAAGAGGAAGGTGAGAGCGGAGATTTTTTTTTATCTTGAGCAACGTGAGATGGATGCGTCGATGGCAGTGTTGCATGTTGGGCCGTTAGGGTGGGCGTCGAGGTCCGTCAACGCGTGTCCGAACGAAACGGACGCTCTACCGAGAGCTAGCATTTCCGTTTCTTATTTGCAACTCCTCTACACATGAGTGTGTCGATTTTTTAGGATGACCCCTTTGTGGTATTTTGTTTTAAACTAGATTTATCTTTGACACTGATATGTAATGGTATTATGTTTTCAGAGAAAGCGATCACAAAAAGAAACACGTAGAGAGGAGGGTGGAATACGTGGACCTAGCGCCGATGACGCAGCCAAGGGCAATAACAAAACTACGAGAGATAAGGGTCAACACGCACGATCGAACACGTGATTATAATTGAACTTAGGCTCATGTGGTCGAGTGTGATAGCTCATATCGTCTCCTATGATTAACAACATAAACATATTCCTTTTTTTTTGTGTGTGTGTGTGTGTTTGTGAAGTGAAGCCATGTCTGTTTGGCAAGGCTTCTTGATAGTTTAAGCCAGGGATTTTCTAGCTTCTTAGACGATGCCTGCCACACACTAACTCAAGAAAATGGTTACGCGAGATAAGCTCTAGAGAGCAAAAGCTGCCTTTTGAACTACAAGAGTGAAGCCACCTAAGAGCATACCCAACGCGACAGGTTGGCTGGTAGTCTCGTCATGCCAGGTAGGCTTGGATGCCATATAGAAGTAAAAAAAAACATGGAGGTAGTAGCCTTGCATTGCAGGTTGTCAACAAGTGCCTCACCTGACTTTGTGCAGAAACACTCACCGGAACAATGCGCTGTGAGAGATGAACACCTTCAAGATAGATGTGTTTTCTCTTATCCAGAGGCGTCCACCCCTCGCACGTGAAGGCTTACGGTTGGAGGCTTGGAGCTAGCAGCTGCTTGCATGTTGAGGTCGAGAAAGGCAGAACAAGTAATAGGACTGGTGCGAAGAAAAATATATATGTGGCTTGGGATACGATAACATTGGTGTCAATCCCTCGGATCCTATATCCTATATGGAAGATATAACTTTTTGTTGGGACACAGTTCATTTTATACGCCTGTGTTGTTGGTGCTCTAAAAAGTTATTTCTTTGGCTTCCCTAACTTCTTTGGTGAAGCTGGTTAGAAAGAAGTCCTATCAATCAGGGCCTTAAATTGGAGGGGTCTTAAACTGGAGAAAGGAAAACAAAATAAATAAATAAAAAGGAGGTGTGGCTCCACTACCAACAGGAAAGTAGGGGAGAAAGGATTTGATAGTATGATTGGTGTGTGATCCTGTGTTGATGTAGGGTACTGAGAGCTCCAGTAGTTGTAGTGCATATTTTACTTAATACGTTTGACATGCAATTCTTCTGTGTGTTCTCATAAAAAGGATAAAAGAAATTGACACAAGAACCTGTCTGAGTGTGTTTCACTGTTTGTGCTTTTGTCCGAGACTGACGGAAAGATACTTGTCCCTTTTTTTCACCAACAGACAGGAGTTGAAGTGTATATGAAAGGAAGGAAAATACATGGCATTGGCATCTGTATATCATATATGATGTCTCCTGCTCCTGCTATCTGATCGCAGAGCGACGAGCTGTGAAGAAGTTAAAGTCAGGATGGTGTGCTCCCACTTGCTTCAGCCAAGAGGATGCCGCCAAGTAGAGGTCAGAATGGGATGATGAGACTGATAACCTAGCACCACCAGCAGCAGCAGCATTTGGTAATCCACCACCACTACCACTACCACTACCAGCAGCTGCAGGCATGTGATGCGGCTCCGTCCAGAGCCGCTTCCCTGCTTCCATTCTGTAGGTCGCCAGTCCGAATGGGGAAAGCGCCACGGTCCTGTCGCCACCGCATCTCACTGTGATCTCATCTGCAATGCAACCAACCCATTCATTTCAGTTCAGTTTAATTTGTCCGTGCCAGGAATCACCATCGCTGCAAACACACGTTATGCAGCAATCTTGTTACATGCATATATAGTATGGCCAACCCATTAAGATCATATGCACGCATGCACTACAATACTGAAGTAATTACAGGCCTGTTTGTCTTTCGGGGAGGTGGAAACAACTTCGTTAGAGTAGGCTCTTTCTCCACAATGCAAGACAGATCGAATTGCAGCAACTACATGCTGAAGCATATATAATGCACGAAACTAAGTCAAAAGTTTGCATGCAACGAACAAGAGATGTACTGTGAATGGAATTCCTTTCGATCATGCATAGAACAGAAGGGTACCTTGAAACACCGTTGAAATAGAATGATAGGTAAGGAAACATGCAGAAATTCCCTTCAGGTTCCCATGATAAGGGATATGGTAAATAGGATACCTGATGAATGAAGGATAAGACAGAGCAAAAGTGAACATATATATCTCGGAAAGGCAGAATC